CCGTGTTTGGATGGCCTGATCCAAACGCGCGGGAATGTTGCGAGAGGTAAGAAAAGCGAGCGAAATCACGAGCCGAAGGCGAGTGATTTTGCCCGCTTTTCTTAACTCGAGCAACATTCCCAAGTGTTTGGATCAGTCCATCCAAACACGGAAACCATAAAGTAATTGTTTTATAAAATAACAACAACACGGTAGTCTTCCGTGTTTGGATGGCCTGATCCAAACACGGCTTTCGACCAATCAGAATACGCGTTATATACATGTTATTTTATAAATTTAGTTCTACAGCACTGTGTCCCAGATATCCTATGAATGAATTTGCCATACACAATTTGTTACATCATTCTATAGTCAAATACATGTATACACTATTGCATTATTAAAATGGGTCCTCTTATGATTGTATACTATCTTTCATTGTGAATTGTTATTACTTTAGATGGAGCATGCGTTTATGAGAGCAAACCAGATGAAAACATGCACACTTTGGTGCTAACTGATATTGACGGTGAAGAATATACCCATCTCTCAATGATTTGCCGTTTGTGTTTTTTTTCCTCAAAACGTTCAATGTTTTTATTGAATTGTTTATGGTTTATACCGTTTGATATTTTACAGGTCGCCGAAGCTATTGCACTTGCCTGACATTTTACAAGCCTTACTACGTAACAGAGGTACTAAGCACAGCCATTCTCCCTAGAGGTCCAGTAAGGGGCATTCATTCATTGATCCGCAGTATTGCTACAAGATACACAGAGAATATACAGTACCTGCGGTGTTTGTCTAATCGGAGAGTTGCAGAAATCGATTACAGAGTTGAAATAATTGCACGAAACACCAGTTTAATACAGCCTTTACAGTGTTTTCAAAACATTGTTTGGTACTTGAAATATCAATTCTGCTCTCCTTCCTCCGCTTTAAGCTTTCAAACAAAGTTATTTTTCCTCAACTTGGTCTACTTTATGCCTAGCCTGGTTATTTTTGAAAACGACGTACTGTACTATTCGTAAAACTAATTTAATTATTTGCCCATTTTGAGTCTTGAAGTCATCTTGTTGAAGAATGAAAGTAGTGATACATTATAATTTGGTTGCAGAACTGAGTTGTGTTGCTATCTAGTTAATTTGGATTACTCTATATACAGTAAGACTCCCTAGACCGCTTCCCACTGAAAGCCCTGTCTTTAATGAACATTTATAGGACGTTGAGATTCCTGGTCAATTTTTGCTATCCGTTGAAGAGACGGAGGAAACCAATGGTAAGTCCAAGAATTCTTTCTGAAACACTTCCAAAAAATGATAGTTTTTTGTTCTAATCGTACAACCTCGTCATTTTTTAGGACAATCACAGATTTGCTATGTTCCAACATGTTGTTGTCTTATATCAAAGTTTCCATATTTCCAGATAGCAAAGGATTGTTTATCAAGGTATGGAAATATTTGGTTGCTAGGGCGTGTGTCTAAATGCCTGTTCAAACGGACTCGACGTTGTTGGCGCAACAGGCAACACTTAATCCAACAATTTCAAATTTTTTTTATTCTGTCTGTCTCGTAAATATTTTAAAGCATTGATATTTGGATAAATCGTATCAAATTATCAAAAAAGATTTGAAAAATAAACGCTCAAGCGAGGATGACAGTGGACGAGTGTGACTCCCACTCTTGGGCGTGTTGCAACATATGGTTGACAGACATTCCTTTAATTTAAAACCACATGGTCAGCTAGAACACTATATGTTTATGCACATGCAGATTTAGCATAAAAATACTCCATTTGTCTGCAGGAAATTTTTGTCTCCAGTTTCTCATCGACTCTTTTATCAATTGACTTTGAGCTGGTTCGAATTTTAACTAGGGTTTTTGCTACACGTGGCAACTCTTATTCTCGTGTGATCTAGACATGATAGTTGAGCCTGAAAACCCTCATGCAAATTCTCGCTTGTTAACTCTCATCACT